TACACACCTGACATTTGGTGAGCACAAACTACATGACATGGTGACTCAAACTTCGGCGTTAAAGCCCGTCATCGTGCTTGATGGTCTCTCTCTCCTGTGTTTTTGTTCCTCATTTTCAAAAATCCACAAACTTCTCAGTCTGCGGCAAGACTCTAAGTGCTAAAGCTGTTTGTTTTATACAGACGCACAAAAGCAACAACATTGTGTTAATCATGAAGGACTCGGTGACAACAGGGACGGAGAAAACGCTTTTATAAATTAACTCATAAATATGCAACGAGGAAACACAAGAGGCAGGATGAGTTAGAGAGTCAGAATAAAATAAGAGAATAATGTGTGATGAGAGTTCATTAAATCATTGAAGTGACTGAACATCGAGCTCCAGTGAAAATGTATTTGTAGGCTGGATACCAGACCGTAGTTATTACATCTGAATTAATAACGTCAAGCCTTCATTAAAGAAGCTCTGACGTGTTTTTAAAAGGACGCTGGAAGTGAATCCAAAGAGCAGGTCTCTGGGTTTAATTAGGAATTAACTCTGTGACACATTCCTGCAGTCTTTTACGAACAGCCGCTCTGAGTGAGTCCTGCTCGTCGGTTATCACTCTGGAGAGGCGAGCTTTGCTTACACGCTTAATTGTTTAACTTTAAATAATCAGCTTTTGATAGGAAATCTGCTGATTGACTGCTAATGTATTTTTTCCATCTTCTTTGTGCTGTTAGCCAGTTGGGTCGGACAGGAAGCCTGAAGGAGTGTCAGTAGAGCACCAGTGGATGTAAACTTCTGGTTTCAGCTTGATGCTCAGCTTCACGTCTCCTCGATGACTCTCAGACATCCTTCCGTCCTGTTGGCCTTGTTGTGTCACATTCAAATGCCGTCCTGTAATTTGCTTGTGCTGCAGAAGTGCAAGTCTCTTCACTTCCCTGTGAGGACGGTGGAGATGCCCGGCACCGACGCGCTCCAGTATCTGATGTATAAAACCATGAGAGGAGCTCTGGCCGACCTGAAGGACAGCCTGGATGAGACGCTTCAAAAGGAATTCAGCAGAATCAACGACAAGGGTACGGCTCACAGCAAAGGTTGTTCTGTTGTGTTTAAGAGACAGGAAATGATCACCATTTGCTCGTCTGTGTTTCCAGTGATTTCACTGAAGGAAAGCAGCAACCTGAGTCACTCAGAGAAGACCAAAGGTATGTGGTTATTATTTAATGATAATGAATATGTCACTGGAACAACTGTCGTCCAATCACAGACGAGCAACTGTAACTATGGAGTTGTCAAGGAAGTGAAACGACAAACTGTCTGATCTAAACAAGGAAAACGTGCATCTTCTACTGAAGTACAATTACAGCAAAAATAAAAACAAAATCCAATTAGTAAACTAAAGAACATAAAAATATAGTTTGTGTTCAAACAGAAGTCCTGGTTTGGTCCCTCTGACTGATTATTAATCGTGAAGCATCAGCAGCGTGTTTCTGTCGTAGCTGCTGCAGCTGTGAACAACTAGATTGACATTTTTATTAATTTAAGGGCTCCTAATGTTATTAATGGGAGAGCAGCAGCCTGAAATGATATATACACACTCACACATGCATGTTTTCCACTTAAAACAACCGGTTGGAAGTTAATTTTTTAACCTGTCGTGTACTTAAAACCCACCTGTGGGACTGGTTTTAAGGTGACACATCTGGAAGCATGATGTGTTTAACGTGTCCTCCCTCCATCCCAGCAGCTAGAGACCCTGACCCGCCGTCCAGCTCAGAGCCGAGGACCAGAGCGGACTTCCTCCAGTGTGAGTACAGCCTCCTGTCACCAGACGTTTCTAACATCCTTCACTATTAAACCAACCGTCTCCGTCCCGTCCAGACTACAACGACCTCTCTCTGGACCTGAACACCGCCAACTCCTATCTGTGCATCACCGACGGCCGGCGAGGCGTGACGACGCGCTCCGAGCCGCAGCCCTACCCGGACCACCCGGACCGCTTCACCAGCTGGGCTCAGGTGCTGTGCAGGGCCGGCATGGCGGGTCGCTGCTACTGGGAGGTGGAGTGGACCGGGAACGGAGGCGTCTCCATCGGCGTCTGCTACAAGAGCATGAGCAGGACCGGAGGAGGCAGCGACTGCAAGCTGGGTCACAACGCCCGGTCCTGGAGTCTGGACTGCTCCCCCACCGCCTGCTCCTTTCAGCACAATAAAGAGAGCGTGGCCGTCGGCGCCGCCTGCAGCAGCAGAGTCGGGGTGTATCTGGACTTCAGAGGGGGAACGCTGTGCTTCTACAGCGTCTCTGACTCCATGGTGCTGCTGCATAAAGCCAAGACTACGTTTGCCCAGCCGCTGTACCCGGGGTTCTGGGTGGGGCTGGGCTCCACCCTCAAGCTGTGCTCACTGTAAACGGACCGTAAACGTTAAGATGTTAATGATGAGACAGACGTTGGTGCTCAAAGCTTAGCTTTATTAACCGTACAAGCCGGGAGCAGCAGCAACACTTTGGTGGAGCGGGGGAAGTGCCGGTGGAGCTCAGATCTTATTGAAGGCAGCGACGTCGACACTCTGGACCTGCAGAGGAACAAATCAAACATGTCAAGCTGTGTTTATTCTAATATGTATGAAAACCTGAATCCACCAAGCTCATGACAATAAAGACTGAATCCAACAGACTGACTTCCATCGACTACTACGAGCTGAACACCTTTTGAACGGGACAGTTTAACCTCATAATATAGTTCAAGTAATTCTAGTCGGCTTTATTTATAAATAAACACATTTAAAACCAGCCACAGGGCTGCACAGGCTCACAACAGAAACACAACGTAAAGGAAGTCAACAAAGTGAGACAAACGATGGCACACGTCAAGGTGTCGACTTCAATTAAAACCCAGAGCGTACATGAACGTCCTCAGTAAGGACCTGAAGCTATAAAGAGACCCAACAGTTGGTGATTCTACTGGAAAGGTCCGGTCTCCTCCGAGTCTAGATCTGGGAACTTCCAGGACCATCTGATTGAATGACTGAGACTGAAGCGTGTAAAAGCTCAGATAGATAATAACCATCTACCACCTTAAACCAAACAATAAAATCCCTGAAACAACCCTGAAGCCGACAGGAAGCCGGCGGAGTGATGCTAGAACAGCAGCATCTTGTATTAGTTGGAGCCAGTTGAGTAAAACGCTGTGAGCTGTTGGTGGCGACCTTCATTTATAAACACATGATCTGCTGCGACATGAACAAGGCTCATATGCAAACTGCTCTGCTTGGTCGTCTCTCCTCGTTTCTGCCTCAGAAGAACCAGATTCCATCACATCTGCAGCTCAATCAAACTAATTGTGCCGGCATGGTTTGAGTTATTCTTTTCTGTCTGTGCTGCCTCCTGGTTAAATTTAACAGCCGGCCTGAATCGGACTAAAGAAAGAGTCGCTGGCTGCAAACGAAGCAGGTCATCATGAGTGAGTTGTGTTTAGTGTGTCCTCGAGTCACTGAGTTACGTCCTCAGACAACAGATTCTCATTTTTAACTTGGTTTAACTCAGTAGCTGGTTGAGTTTCACAGATGCTCAAAAGGACCGAAAAGCAACTAAACACTGTTTTAAATTCCACCGTACAAACAGAAATAAAGGAATATATCATTATGTGGACCTGCAGACAGACCTACATGTGGAGCGACTGAATGATCTGATGAGCCGGACATCACACCTTCACAGTAAAGGATCGTATTTTATCTGTGAAACACGACGTGGAACTATTTCATCTCTTTATTTGTATTCCCTGTTCTGTCCGTGGTGCTTCCACTGGAGCTGCACCAAGCAGAACGAACACATCCAGAGCACCGACTACTGACGTCTAACTGTGGACACGCTGGTATATTGTGTGTGTATTGTGTCACTATTGTTCTCATTCCTGTACCTGTTGCATGACTCTGATATTGTGTGACTGTTAGTAGACTAATGCTGTAAAATCAGTGGATTTAATGAAGAAAACTTGATCTCAGTTCCTCCCCCTCTGCAGCTTCACTGCGTTGCATTCTGGTCTTCCACTGATCAAAGCAGCGCAGTAGGTCTTCTTCTGTCTCAGGAGCTCTTTGGTTTTCATCTCTCCTTTTCAAACAAACCCATAATGGGTTCCCACGAGCAAATAAATAAGTCACATTGTGATGAGACGACTAACAGACGAGGACCTACCGGCCTGCTTTGATCAGCAGACGACCAGAACGCAGGGCGGCTGCAGGAGGAGGAATTAAAATGGAGATTTAAATCTTATTTAAATGTCTTTATGGTTATGAGGACAGTGATTTGCTTTGATGGCTGGAAATATTCACTAGCTCAAGTTCTTTTAAAGGCAGAAGCAACCTTTCAGTACACGCAGCCTCCTGAAGAGTCACGGCGAGAGTTCAGATCCACAGCAAAGTGTCTAAACCTGATCCACATCAACAACTGGTCCGTTGCTCCAGTCTAGTTCATGCACACTGAAAACATCCTGCAGGTTTTACACGACGGGCAGCGGATGCATTTACTGCTCATTACTGGTTGTAAACATCAGATCTCACAGCCAAAACTCTCGTCGTGTCTCCTGAACTCCTGAAGCCAGATCGTGTTCTTCCTTCAGCAGAACCACACTGAGGCTTAATGTTCCTGAAGTTAGATAGAACTTCAGCAGGACCTACTTCTAATCACAACTGTTCAATGAGGTCTGAATTATACTCAATTAAAGTCTGTATTTAGCTGCACTCATCAGGTTTCTTCATTAAGCCGACGTCTTAAATGACACGACAATAAGGAAGCAGGTTGTTGCATCGAGGTAAGCTGCACTTTTTCTAGGGAATGACAGAATCTTCACCTCGTTTACAAGTTTTAATGAGGCTTTCACACACATGCATTAGGACTGAGAATGGACCAGGTGGTCGAGAAGGATAAATACATATAGGCATGGAAAAAATTATTAATCCACCTTGTTTTCTTCATTTTCTTGTTCATGTTAATGCCTGGTACCACTAAAGGTCCAATACCTGAAGAATACAATGAACACAACACAAGATGCAGCTGATCCCATCATCCTTTATGTCCTATCTGACGTGCTGAAGCTTCATCGTATTCCCTGTAGGGTCTATAAGAGTCCATTTCATGTCATCAGCAGCACTGCACATGCAAAAGCCTGGAGTGGTTTCCCGCCTACGTTCAAGCCGTAGCCCCAAAACAAAGCACATTCGTTTGAATTTGTGCAGCAGGAGTGTGCTGCTGTCACAGCAGAACGATGTCAGAAGCTGGTGGAGAGCAGCCGAGACTCCTGAGTGCATCATGTGACTAAAATGATGGAACATGTCTGATATCAGCTCTGGAACTAAACTCTCATGAGATATCATATTTTAGTGGTACCAGGCATTAAAATGAACAAGACATTGAGGAAAACAAGGTGTCCAATCATTTTTTCCCATGACTGTATATTTATGTATTCTTATTTTCTAAACAACTGCATTCAAGGCTCGACTGAGACTGAAGTACCGCAGGGTGCCCTCCAGAAGTCTGAATATTAGTCGATTTAACCGCTGATGAGGACGGCACGCAGCATCGTCCATCACCACAGTCCAGTCTTCATATGTACAGATTCACAGGTACCACCTGCTCTGATGTAAACTTTCATCAGAGCTCGTTAACGCACCAACACTAAGAAGATGTCGAACTTTTTGCCGTGAGCACCGCATATAAAGTTCTATTCAGCTCCATGCTACTGAGACGGAGGCAGAGGTGTAGGAGCCGTTAAACCTCGGTTACATCCCACGACTAGTTCTCCTATCAGACTAACTGACCATTCATGGACACCAAAGCTACTTACGAAGTCCTCAAACTGGGTGATCTCCTCCTCCAGGATGTCGGTGCCGACCTTGTCATCCTCGACCACGCAGTTGATCTGCAGCTTCTTGATGCCGTAGCCGACCGGTACCAGCTTGGAGGCGCCCCACAGCAGCCCGTCCATCTGCACCGAGCGCACGCACTCCTCCAGCTTCGCCATGTCCGTCTCGTCGTCCCACTGCGAAGAGGAAATGTTAGTCTGGCAGAACCACGAGAACTCAACAAGTAAAACATCTGTCCACACGTGCAATCACACGGCATGGATCATAACTTAACTACATGCATAGGAGTTGTTTTTTTCACTTTATAAACTATTTGATGCACTGATTTATGGATTTCATCACCTTTTCCCAGATAAGTCAACAGTCGTACCAACCCGACTATAATCTAGTGATTATCATGAATTTATCACATTTCCAACAACGACACTTGGAGCCCCGCTGCAGAGCCTTGACGGCTACGTACAGGCTTCACGTCCAGGATGATGGAGGACTTGGCAATCAGGGCAGGTTTCTTGGCTTTCTTGGCGGCGTAGGCGTCCAGGCGCTCCTGCTTAAGGCGTGCTGCCTCCTCATCATCGTCGTCACTGCCGAACAGGTCCATGTCGTCGTCGTCGTCATCGTCACCGTTCTCCACCTTCACCTGTCTGACGGGAGCAGCCTGGACGGGGGCAGCCTGAACAACACCATCAGAGAGGATTAAAAATAGTCCTGATTTGTTAACACAACATTAAGACATCAGTATGAAAGGCTTCTGATAACAGAGCATTAATAGATCATGTGCTGTGGAAGGAAGGAGGACGCTAGCAGCCCATGATGAGTCCTCCAGTACAAAACTGAGGTCTGTACTATGAAACAAGTTTGACGTACACAAAGAAAGCCTGGCTAAGTCGGCTCGACAAAAACTAAAGCCCCAGTCAGAGATCAGGAAGGTGGTTCAACTTTCAACTTTTTTTTCAACTTTATTGAATTTCCCTTCTGGGATAAATAAAGTATTTTTCATTTCATTTCATTTCTTCGTTAACTCAGACTTCCTGCTTCAGATTCTGTTCACATTAAAGGAGGCGTTTAACGCGTCACGTGACTCTTCTTCTGCACTGAATGAATCGATCACGTGCAGCTGCTTCAGTCAGCTCCTTGTTTTAATGGAGAACTATGAGGAATATTAAAATTATGATGGTAAAAATTGCTGCTCCCGACCAGGTTAGCTCCACAGCATCAGTTACCATGGAGACCTAGCTCCACAGCATCAGTTACCATGGAGACCTAGCTCCATAGGATCAGTTACCATGGAGATCGGGCTCCACAGGATCAGTTACCATGGAGACCTAGCAGGTAAAAGGAGAGCCACCATCCTGACACTGAAAACTCTGACTTTGGGCTCAACATACCTGATAACCCACTGATCTGCAGCCCTCTGTTCAATCATAAATACCAGACAACACAAACAACAACAAAACCAGATAAAAGCTTTAACAACTTCAACAATTAAACAACAACACACTTAACAGCATAGGTGACTGTTTCAAGCAGTTCCAAAGACATCTGCGGTGAGACATCTGTGTTATAGACGCTATAAAGACCTACTAATGTATGAAGCTCTAAATAACCGACCTTAGCACATGGAGCAGCTGCTGCAGGAGTCTTCTCCAGCATCGCAACCCTGGACTCCAGCTTCTGCAGGGCGGCTCTCATGTCCTGCACCACTGACAAGCAAACACAACAGGAGAGTTAAACCTGAAGGGACGAAGATTCAGAAAGCATCAGGGAATACTGACATAATACCAGAGACGGCATAAAGGACGGACTTTACACTTTAAGAATAACAACAGCAAAACTGCACGAGTGCTGCTATATACAGTAGAATCTGAGAGAAGAAAGAAAAGTTTAGGCCTTATTTTGGGGCAAAGTCACCAAACTACCGAAGAAGTTTTTATCAGGTTTGACTGGTGGTTCTCTACATGAACCTCCCTTAGATTCAGGCTGTCGGCCTGACATCCTCCCTGGATGTGAGACCGGCTAAAAAGGCATTTTGAGATCACGTTTTAAACTGACAAAATGATCAAACTGTTGCTCATCCAGCACTGAAAAACTGAGAAATATAACTTGGTCACACTCCCTGGGCTCCACTTCTTGGGGCTCTACCTAAACATCCGTCTCCTTGGCTGACTAACATCACACGGTGTCCATCATCAGCTGTTCTATGGTTCTGAATGGGTTTGGTTTCCCTCCTGAAGTTAGCTACGAGTTGTTTTCAACACAAGAGTGAAACAAGTAAAGCAACCAGACAGCTCCCTTCATACAGGAGCTGTGGCTTCCTCACGATGAACAACTTCTTCCTTCCTGTCACATTTTCACTTGAAAGACTGCACCAAACCTGAGGACACACCTTTGTGCAGAGTGTGGTTCTCCATCTCCAGGCTCTTCATGCGTGAAACCAGCTCCTGGTCTCCTCCAGCATGTGAGGACGACTGCAGGAAGATAAACACAACTTAATTAGCAAAAGGTAGCGTCAAACGAAGCAGGTTCATGAACGTCTGGGTGGAGATCCAATCCTGAAGGGAAGTCGTCAGAAGAATAAGATGAGAAAACACAAGCCATGCAGGGGTACGAACCCGTCACACACACGATGCTGAGGTTAAATGAACTCCGTCTATCCACCATCAGGAAGGTTTCATGTTCACAACGTCAGCATGCAGGTCCACAAACACACACCTTCACCCACTTGATGAAACGTCTCTCCCCAAATTAAAGATTAGAGCAACACTTCCTTTTTATCCTTCGATGCAGAGTCAGAGGATTGGTACCACCCCCATTAGCATACAGCAGCTCGTTAGCTTAGCCGCCGACAGCAGCTGCCTTTACAACTGAACAGTGATTTGCTAAATTCTGTCCATCAGCGAGCTCCACAGATGTGTTCAGAGCTTTGGACAGAGCCAGGCCAGCTGTTTAGCCTACGAGACGTGAGGCTGGTACCAATCTTCTGACTCTCGGCAACTCTCAGTTCAGTTTGATTTTAACCGATTATCACAAAACCGAGCAACACAAGATTAAAACCCGCTGATTCTGATCCCACACGTTCACATCCTGAGCTGTTTGTGATGGAGGCAGCAGGACGGTGAGGCGGTGGCAGCAGCGTGACAACAGCAGCAGTAGCAACACACTCCACCGTGTCGGTCATGCAACGCTCCCGGCCCGGCCCGTGGCGGCAGAGCCGGACGGGGACCACTTACGTTTCTGTGCTGCCGTTTCTGCTGGCGCCCTTTGGCCTGCTGCAGGGCGGATTTCACCTGCCCCCAGGTGATGCGCAACGCGAGGTAAACAGGTGAAACAGTGAGAGAGGAAGAGAAGAAGAGAGCGATGGGCTGCAGGTAGAGAGCAGGACGCTACACAGTCCGACAAACTCAGACACACAGCGGGACGGACTGTGTTTATGGAAAAATCAACTGCAACGTTTTGTTTTATCTGCAGATATTTAATGATCAACTTCTCCTTAAACGTTGAACCAAAAAAAAGCTAAATATCAGGAACACATGAGAATCCAGACTTCAGAATTAAAGATGCATTCGTTTCTGATTTAAATGAAGAAGCTCCTGTTTTATGTTTTTTGTGACGAGAGGCTTAAATGTTCCCGTGGCGACGCTCACATGAGGTCGCTAATGAATGAATCAACAGAAGGGGGTCTTCATTGCAGGCAGTAGCAAAGCATTCTGGGATGTGTAGTATTAGCAGATTTGATATTATCTCAAATCTAATTCTACTGCGGGCCAGATTTGGGCCGCGGGCCTGAGTTTGACACCCATGCTCTACAGAATGCTTCCAGTGAACGCTGAACATGTGAAAGAGAAAAGAGACGACATTTTCTAAAAGTTGCATTAATCAGCTTTTATACTAAAACTGAATAAAAAGCCCCTAATTATACTAAAATAAAATCATCCAATCCCGAAGCTTCTCAGCGCTGGTTATCCTGTTTCAGCTCCACACCTGTACACGCTGGTCACACCTGTTGTTCTGGGAAAGTCTGTTGTGATTAATTGTGGAGCTCTTGTACTATGAACCTTAAAGGACTGGTTTACTCTCTAAAGTCTACCTTCGTGGTTAAACAGTTTAATTACAAATAAAAGCATGTTTACATTCAGATCAGTTGACGTGACGGTGAATCGATTTGGCATCAACTGTGTTACGGTTGAATGGCACAAATCACACACAAGCACAAGAACAGAGGAGGTCCAGTCACAGAAACCCACCTCACTACAGGTCAGAACCACACAGGCTGCCTCTGAGCAACACTCACACATTCAAAGCAGGAGTCATCGTTCGTAGCTACTCGATTTAATTTAAACCTTAAGTCTAACATAAGCTTTGGCTAAATTCACCGTTTACACTGAAATTTCTTTAAGAACAAACGGCGCTGTGATCACTGTGGACAGAACAAATGATTACGGCCACCGGGGAGACTTTCACTGTACATAAACGAGTTTTGTTTTTATAAAGCATCGACCTAATTAGAAAAAATACCGTAATGTCTGGACTATAAGCTCCTACTTCCTTCACACGCTTTGAACGCTGCGGCTTAAACAGCGATGAGGCTAATTCATGGATTTTTACGAATTCACCTGGAGACCAAAGTGAGGCTGAGAGCGACGACGACAGAGAGACTGAGGAAGTGATGAAGTGATTCTGAGGCTGTTCAGCTCCTGAAGACACTGAAGAAGACGACTTTAGTGGTTTTAGTGCAGGAGGAAGATGAAGATAGCCATCAGTGACTTTTCCTGGTAGCTGCTGGAGTTTTATTTCCTTAACCAGCCGTGTGACAGGAAGTGTTCAGAAAAAAGCCTCTACGGTACGGATTTAAATAAAAGTTTTAAAAAAATCTTTCTGTGTAAATATCTCATGTTTCAATGTGGACACCTGCAGCCTGTAGATGTACACACCTGGTTTTCTTTTTAGGCTTAGTGGGTGTGGCTTATATTCAGGTGCCTCCATAGTCCAGACATTACGGTAGTTTTCTGTATGAAAGTGACTAACATGAGCAACTTACTGACGGAGTGCACTAAAGATAACGGCAGCGAGCCGACAGGTGTAAAGGGAAATAGAGCACGTCAGTGACACTTATTTGTAACTATTGTTGGTACTGAGAGGCTAAAATGTCCATCATGTGTTCCCATCTACACCTGAGTTAGCACTACGTATTCACCCGTCCTTATAGTTGAGCACAGTGCTGCCACTGCTGGAGGTTTGTTGGCAGCTCTTAGCTCAGTTTGGGGACTCCTGGACACTCCTCTGGGCTTCAGCTAAAGCCGGGGCGAAGCAGCATGCAACAGAGGAAAACGCTGAGTCACTGAACATACAGAACGATGACTTTTAAAGACAAAGTCCTTGTAATTCAAACACATAAAAGACAAACAGTCCATCTAAAGCAGATCAAGTCTGGGTTTTCTATCTGCATTGGATGTTGTAATCTAAAGTTTGTGCACATGTTGGCAGCAGCCTGAGGGCTCACAAACCCAACACGGCGACCCGACCTGCACCGCTCACGCTGCAGCTGTCATTTTCCCACTCAAGCACACCAAGTCCTGACATGAGATCTGCTTTTATTTGAACGTTTTTTTCCGTCCTGATGCAATGAAATGTGTCGACAGCGCTACCCGTGGATCGCTGTAAAGGCGTGTGGGCAGCAACTGAAGGGAGACATCAGAAACATCTCAGCACGTAAAGAAAAAGCATCAGAGAGAGGAAGTGTGACTTTGTGTGATTTGGTGAAATAACCCTTTAAGGAAAGCAGCCTCTGATGTCTTTTTGTTTTTCAGGCCTGTGCAGGAACTCTGAGGGCTTCTGTAGCAGCGCTGAGGAGACGAGACAGCTGCCAAATCACCTGACCCTCCTCGCTAAGGCGAGACGCTTCTAAATCGAGTGGCTTCAGCTGCTCCGGGCTGCCGAGCGCTGAGACCGACCGTGATGCAACTACAGGGACTGAAAGGGCAGCGTGGTCTGGACAGGAGACCGGCTGTAACCCTCTGAGGCCGAGCACTTTCTGGGAGATTTCCTTTGCTCCTGTCACATTTTTACTCACTGAGGGCTCATGTAGGGAAAAATATCGTCTGCACAGCCTAACAGAGCTGCAGTTATGCTGAAAAGGGAAAAGCCCAAAGTTCAATTTCTGAGTTTCAACATGTCAAACATTTTTATTCGTTTCTACGCTCGTCTGCTGTGAATCCAACAGAAACGTCCCCGAGCTGCTGGTCACAGAAAGGCAGAATGCTTTCTATTCAAATTATATCCATTTTAACTGTTTCTGGCGCTGATAAATTGCATAATTTTAGCAATTTTTAAAAAAGAAAACACTTTTCAAACCTGCTTGTGTGTTAAAAGGCTGAGACACAAGAAAAGCTGCATTAAAATCAACCTACAAAACAAAAATTTCTTTTGGGTACCTGTTGCTGTGGCGAGGACGGGCCGTTGGCGCCTTCGTAGAAACGCCTCTCCGCCTCATCGTAGCGGTGTTTGTCGAACCAGATGTTCTCCGAGGCGAGGCACTGCACTCCACTCATGTTGGCGCTGAGGAAAGGGAAGTCGGGAATTTAGGAAGGATTAGACGACGCAGAAAACACTCATGGTTATGTGACAGCTCATCTGCTGGAGGACCAGGTGATTAGTGGCTACAGCCAGCGACACGGCAGCGAGACGCCCGACTGGGACGTCCAGGGTTACGACAGCATGCTCAGCCACAGGTGATGATGTGGGTGGAATAGGGAGAGACGACCCAAAGCGTGAAAACAAGCATTTCCTTTTATACACAACCAGCAAGCTGACGCCACAACGAGTGTCATGTAAAACAGCAGCAAAACATAAACAAGTGGCTGCAATAACTTAATGCATTTCACATCCCTTCCTCGTTTTGCTGACGGCAGCAGACAGACGTCTACACATTCCTCACACAAACAGAGCTGCCTGGTCTGCAAAGTCCGGATTACAGAACACAAAGCCGGGTCGCTGCAGAGACCCGCTGCATTGTATCAGCACCAGAGACGGTGAAAGGACGGACCCGTTTCACTTCACATGTCAGTGTAAACAACAAGAAAATCCTCCCTGCTTTGTCTGTACACGACCAACAAAAAATACACAAGTTAGCATGACTTCAAAAAGAAAAGAAAAGGCCAAAATGCAGACGGACAACGAGTACCAAATACTTCCAGCAGTTAAATAAACCAACAACACAGATCTCTCCCATTCCTTGTGTGAGGAGGCTCATACTTGTCCCATCTCGGCCGGCCCTCCGTCTCGGAGAGGCCCCTCTTCCTCGGGTGTGGCCCCCGGCTGCCTTTGCCTCCCTGTTCCGTCTCGGAGGAGGTGCGGCTGCGCCCCCTGCTGCCCTGGCGGTGAGGCGTGCCCGAGGCCTTCACGGTGCTGACCGGGTGGCCCTGGTCCTGGCTACGTCTGGTGTGGAAGGTCAAGGATCCTCTGGTGTTGGGGCTCCGCGGGGAGGACGACAGCGGCCCGTTGCCGTTGGAGGCGAGCCGGCGATGGTAGCTGCCCTCGGCCTGCTCGTAGGCGCTGCGGTTGTACCATATGGCCTCGGACTGCATGCCCTGCAGGACGGGGCTCCGGCCGTACGAGCCGCCCGCCTCCACCGAGGAGCTCAGCCACTCGTCTTCAGCCCCGGAGCTCTCCGACTGCGTGTGGCGCCGCAGCCTCCTGAACTGGACGTTGTCCCCGCTGATGATGCCCCTCTCCACCGGGGGGGCGTTGGCGTGCCTGAAGGCCCCGACCGGCGCATCGCTCTGAGGGGCTCCTCTCTGGTGACGGTTTGCCAAAGACTGATCCATTTCTCTGTTAACGGGGCGTCTTCTCTCCTCACTTGCATGTCAGAGGTTTGTAAGGAGAGAGAAGAAGCAACAGGTGGAAGCTGGAGGCATTAGTTCAGTGTGGAGTTAGTGCAGCTGACTGGTTAGAAACATCAGCTGATGTGGGGGGAAAGCAAAGAGACGTCAGATTGATCAGAAAGCTTCAGAGTCCAATTGTACGAATTAGGATGATGCCCAAGAAGGTTAATGATCAATCTCACATGGCACTTTCAAAATGGGAAAGCCAAAACAAACAAAATGTAACGTGGCTCTCAAAAACAACAACAACACTTCGGTTAAGACGGGCTGCAGTGTTTCCTCAGTACCCAGTTTGGATCTAAAACCAGTGCGGCACAAATACTTTTAAATAACAGAAACTAACGGTCAACCTGACACTGAACTACAGTCTCAACTTGACGCACATCGAGTGGATCAAATGCAGATTCTCGTAGATTAATCGTAGTTGAGTTCCTTGAAGACGTTCCACCTCCATCCAAGAGGCTTCATCAGCTCTGACTGACTAGTTGGGAGTTCCACATCCTGATATCCTGAAGGAGACGTTAACACCTGAGTTTGGCTTTCAACTGGAGGCTTGTTGCTCCTCCCCCTCGTTATGTGACTCGTTAGTGCTCCCTCTGCCACAGTGGGGTTCGTTAGGGTCTCTGTGGCTCGGTGTGGATGTGGGTTCATCTTCCTGGGGGGAGATCTTAGGACTGAACTGTGAACAGGTGAGAGGTGACGCCTCAGACCTCCACCTCTGCTGAGGGATGGTCTTTCCAGTTTGATGGCTTCTTTCACTCCTCTCTCAAACCATCTGTCCTCCCTGCAGGACAACATCTGTACGTAGTTGTCTCTTGGATGAGAGGTGAAATGTCTTCAAGGAGCTCCAGCAACAGTTGCTACGATTAAACTACGAGAATAATCATGACCCGGATGACTGAGAGTCTTCAGACATCAAATGCAGATGTTGACAGGTGTGTCATTCCTTTCAGACGCAGCTCTACTCACTAACGAGGAAACACTGTTTACGTATTAAACATGATGTTTAAACACCCAGTAGTTCAGCAGCAGCATGTGGCTCACCTCGGTTTGGGCATGATGCAGGATAACGCACGCTGCCTATCGTGGAATTGAACATTTAAATAATTCAAAGCGTGAAAATTAAAATAACATGCATTTATAAACATACAGGAAATCAACCAAGATGCACGAACAACAACATCCTGTAAACGTCTGACGGCAGGATTTAACCGAAGCAGCACGACACAGGTTTCATGCTTAAAATAAAAAAAGACTAATTTAAATAACTGTACACGGTAACTTTAAAAACACTGGTAGTGCCGATATAGTGTCTCATTTGCCAGTTTATTAGGTACAGCAAGCTAAACCTAAACCTCAGCTCACAGGAGGCTGTTTCAGAGAGGTGTCCATGTCAGTTTATGATCGTTTTGGAGTTAACCTGAGACACGTTTCAGACATTTACCAACAAAACACGACTGAAACAAGTCCTGGATCGACACTAAATTAGTAGTTTGCATCACTTTTCACACAAAAAAACATGCAACAACTTTCCTCTGTTGTTTAATAATGTGAATGATTAATATGTAGACGAGGGATTTGGACAAAAATGGCAACTTAAACAGGTTCACTTGAACTTCTGTCCAAATGATTTTTCAATTAATTAAATATTTGGCAAATTAGCAACGTAAACGGCTGTTAAGCTGCAGCAAGAAGTGGAATAAACACCAGAAACACCTCTAACCTGGTGCTTTTTATTACCACCTGTCTAATTTGAAGGGCTTTAACGCCACTCAGCGCTCCACGTTTCACCATTTTGAACAGGAACGAGGAATTTAAACTGAATCCACCTTTTTAGAAATTAATCCAGCATCACGTTCAGTCACTAAAACTAATGTTTCTGCTCAGGAATACAAGTAAATAACTACAATTTGACGTCTTAATCAGGAAATAATAATGAGCTTTACTGTTTTTTCAGCTTTTTTTGTAAAACAGTAAATTTTAAAACACATGAATGACAATAATAATTATATTTTAGCATTAAACACTTCATTTAGGTTAAAGATCTTCTACATCCTGGTGTATGAACCATCACAGAGACATAAGAAGTGATTCATGTAGGACAGCTGGGGCACAAACCTGACACTGGGTGGAGGTTTAATGGATTTGTTAAACCCTAAATATCCCAAAATATGATGTTTATTCTCAACAAAACCGTGTTGTACAACCATGAAGGTCGGAGGAGTTGCTCATTGAGGCTGCATTAGTTTCTAGCATCCAATAAACTGTAAAAGTCAAAGCAGTAAACCAGGACGTGTGTTAGAGGAGCTGAGCAGCAGCTTGGACACAAACACTCACCTTCTGCAGCCGGAACAAGAAGCTAATGACCAAAGACATGAAACACATTCTTATGAATTTAGCTTGTATGACAAACCGAACATGCTAACTTCACAGCACAATAAAGAATCACAGTTTGAGCATCGTGTCACAGCAGATATGTCCGATGAGGTGTGAGCAGTGAGGGTCCTTGCTGTCCTCCGTGAGCAGCCTTCACACCCAGAAACCAGCTAAAGTTACGCTTCACAACTTTTTGACAGCCCACCAACTTGGAGCGACCACGTGGCGCCGACAAACCCCGAACTCTGCGCTGTTTGCGGGTTAAACGGACGGCACAGTGTTTGGGACGCACCAGGTCGTTAAAAGGCAACTTTAGTGCACTTACTTTTGGTTTTATTCGACGTTTTATGGCTGGACTATCGCCGCTTTGCGTGCCGCCACAGCTGTAATCCGACGGTGGAAGAGGACTCGCATTAGCGGGCCGCCCGTATTATTGAGCGGCGGAGGGGGGGCGGCGTTAGCTTTCTGACGATTATATCGTTTATTTAACGGTTTATTTCGTCTCTATGCGAGATATAATAACAAAGAAAACACAAAGAAAAAGAACAGATAGCTTATTAATTTTTAACCACAAAACGTTGACACGTTTGAGCTCCCACATGACATGGTACGATCCGTTTCGGCCGAAGACTTCATCTCCCATGATGCTTTGGGAGGCCGCTAGCGGTTTTCTTGTGATTTTATTTTTTATTTTCTTCAACAGCAGCGCAGTGTCGCTTTGACAGATGGACTTCTGCTACTGAATCACTTAACGTAAACTTGAAGATTAAAGTCCGGTCCAGATTTAATGGCTTGCGGAGCCGAACACCTGTTTCTAGTTCGTCCTGCAGAGGGTGGACGAGGCGAACCGAACTACACATCCGGGTCCGTACAGATTTTAGAAATATATATATATATTTAAATTTGGAGCATCATTTTTAAATGTAATGTTATCTGGTGCATAACAACAATAGTAAAAGTTGTGTTAAAATTTAATTACTTAATTATAACTTAACTTAATTATGTAAAGTTATCTGGAAGTGATAAAATTACCCTTTTTTTAAAAAGTTAGTTTTCAGATCGTGTTCAACTGCCATAGAAGCAAAAAGTATGGCTCCAGTTTGGCACTGTAGTACGCATAGTTTTAAGCAATATTATCTTTGCTTTGGTAGATTTACTGTATTGTTGTTTCATGTTGAAAACAGCTGAAGGCTGCTCTGGTTCCCTGTTTACAGCCGTCCTCAGATGTGTTCATCTCCTTCCATTAAAGAAAAGGCAAAATCCACAACAGTCACTCAAATAACTGGAAACTGAAAAAAGTAATAATAAATAAAAATTAGCAAAATTACAATTTAGTGAAATCTGACGTTGCTTTTAAATTGTGGTTGAAAAGAATAATTTAAAAAAAAATTACGGCACTTTGCAGATTTTTTGTTTAGTGTTTTAAAAATATTTCTGTTGAACCACAATTCAAAAGCAACATTATGATTTTCATTACATTTTTATTTATTATTACTTTTGACCATTTCAACGTATTTCAGTGACTGAAGCTGTTTTTTTCTTTTCTTAATGTGCAGATATGAATAAATTTGAGGACGACTGTACATTACAGTCTGACTGTGTTGATTTCAGATGAAAATCTCATTTCCACCATAAGAACAGCAGACAAAGCTCTGCTGACTTGATCTGTGCGTCCAAACTCACTACCAGGAGTGGGGTTCGAACCCACGAGGACATGTGTCCATTGGATCTTAAGTCCAACGCCTTAACCTCTCGGCCATCCTGGTGGACGAACACTGAACCAAACACTCAGCATTCCAAACACGCTGTGATGCAGCACAAACTCATGCAATGCAAATGAACTCTTTGATGCGTTTCCGACCTTTTAACCCCGGAGGGTTGAGTTATGCTGACAAGTTATGACGAAGCGATGAAAGATTCCAACTGTCAGAACTGAAGACTAAATGTGGAGCGTAAACGATCTCCTACGTCTGTATGTGAAACCGTTAAAAGACACAGACTGTAAAATCAGATTTAAAACCTTTTGTCTCAGCAGACTTGTTCTTATCATCAGACTTCTGCAAAGTGACGCAGCCATCAAACCGATCAGGTCTTTATAGATCCATTAAAACTCATAAAGTCACATTTTGCATCTTTTACCTTCAGCGTCATTCGTTCGTGCTGCAAAAGTCGTCAGAGAACAACTAATCATGGACTCTTTAAAACTGAAACCAGGGTTGGTAATGTTTAAAGAACGAATGAAGACGATAAACTCGTATCATTAAGACATTCTTCTCTGACCCGAGGTGCTCTTGGAACAAATTCAACAATAGCAATTTGACAGCTATTCATCTCTCATCCAGCCTTTTGCTGTCCTACTTTCTTGTTGCTTCCAGTGCTCGTGATCACAGGTCCTGAATTTTGCATTATGTACGGCCCATATCCAGGCGGTACAGCTCACATCTGCTGGGTTCTGTTCTGGTGTTTCAAGAATTTTACTTTAACTATGTACAGTTCAATTGGGGAACACGTCTGCGTGTCCCGGATGCTTTAAGATGCTTTTCTGAGATCTAAAATGTTCTGTACACTTTTAATTTGTGAAGAAAACGCTGCTCCGCTGACTGTTCGCTCTGTGCAGCTGCATCACACCAAATCCAACTGATACTCAGACGGTATGAAGCGGAGCAAAGACATCATGTGACTGCTGACACGTGACACGTTTACGGGTGAGCGGAGCGAGAAAAGCCACGTTTTCCACCAAACCTCCATCTGTAATGTTTAATTAGTGCTTCAGATGAAGGTTTAAGGAAAACGGTGTGGACAGTAAGAGGTAACACCTGAGCTGCTTCTGAGCCTCGGGGGAAGTTCATCGCTGAGCATTGGACCTGCGGTTCTGATGAGATCTGTTTAAGATGGAAAGATAAAACAGAAAAAAGCCTCTGATGGCGTGTGTGGAGCCAGAAATCCTATGAAAGTGAATGAAAGCTGTAAACCTGTGGGTAGACATGATGTCAGCTTGGTATTCATTTGTTTATTTTACACAGAAAAGAGTCAAAATACAAACTACGACCACTTTTCCTCCATCGCTGAAAAGCAGAGAAGCTGAGAGATTTTCTATTTATTTCCAGATCACTCTAGTTTAAGTTTAAGGTTTCCAAACTAATGTCAGAAAGTCGTCACTCACATACGCATGTTAAAGGGTAAAAGTAAGGCAGAGAGAATTATTTTCTCCGTCAGCAGATCATTTAGTGTTTGACTGCAAACCGTCAGAGAATTATTTATGTCGTCTGAGTGGAGAAACATTTATGTTCTCAGGTTAAATCACAAAGTGGTGAATTCTCTCTTCAGGTTTATTATCTTTAGCTATTATTAAAAACTTTGTGAGTATGAATAAAGCTGAGCTGGTTGGATGTGGCCACAACAAGGCAGCATCCATCCATCATCTCTACACCTTAATCCTCACCAGGGTCATGGGGGGCGGAGCCTATCCCAGCTAACTCAGGGTGAAGGCAGGTTCACCTGGACAGGTAACCAGTCTATCACAGGGCTACACTTAGAGACAGACAACCAAGCACACTCACATTCACACCTACGGACAATTTACAACCACCAATTAACCTCAGCATGTTTCTGGACTGTGGGAGGAAGCCGGAGAACCCGGAGAGAACCCACGCTGCACGGGGAGAACATGGAGACTCCACGCAGAAAGATCCCGGGTGTCCTCACCGGGACGCCAACCAACGACCTTCTAGCTGTGAGGTGATGGTGATAACCACCTCTGCATCCATGAAATCATAAATATCAGGAAGCACACTCAGACTCAGCAGCTTCAGATCTTCTGGCTCTCGCCTCCTTTGATGGTCTTTCATCTTATACCGTGTTTGCAGAGCAGATGGGCAGGAAAACACGGTCACGCATGTGTTTACGTGTCAGCATAACATGTTGAGATGCTGCATGTCGGTTCAGGATAAATAATTCTATCAGCTGACACAGTTATAGCTCTTCTAATTATGTTCTCTGTGTCTCTGTGGTTTGGACATTTCTCAGTTATTTGATTCATGAATCATGAACAGCAGCTCTCGTGCCCCGGCTTCCCCTGACCTTCACTCTTCCATCTTCAGTCATTAGCCTACATTTCCCTCAGAGCTGCTCCCAGTACAAAAGGTTGCAGCAGTTCTGTGCTTCAGAGGGAGACTGTCTTTTATCAGTTGTTTTACGGCATCATTACAGCCGACAGAAAGGCCTCGCGGCTCCACACAATGGGAAGCAGTGAACAAACAGCCACCGCAAGCTCCTGTTTAAACGCAAACAAACAATTTGTCGGAAAAATCAGCACCAGTGGCGTCACTCCAGCCTTTTGTTCGCCCGTGTTTGTGAACCAGTAAACGGGAAGCCCGTGTGAAAGTGATCATTTAAAAGAGACGTTTGTTTTTAATTGTTCCGAGGCTGCTGGGACACGAGGCCACACCTGGAGACTGATGAGGAGGAGCTCTCGTTAAACACCTGAACTAAAGTGTTCCTGGAAACGCGTGAAGGTTGAATCCTACATTCTTGTCCTGGTTCCTCTGCAGGGAAAGGTCAGACTGTTTTAGCACGGCGCTGCTCCACATTCACACCTGGAGACTCGGTGAGGTGACCCCGTTAGCAAACCACCTCTAACGGAGCAACGTGGAAATAAAGTCCTCGTTCTGAGGCCCCGATACGCTACCACAAGAGCTCTTCTTAGTCACTTGAATCCTGCAAACCTTTCTGGAGATCTTAACAGCTGTGGTTCAGTCTCGGCTACATTTGTCAGCCTGTTGAGCTATAAGATTAACGTCTGCTGTCCCTGAGGAGATCCGTCTCTGCAAACTGATAGAAACACAACAAACAACAGAACCGGTTGTCATCCGTGTTCACACACACTTGCATTGTCACTGACACAACGCTGCACCGTTCGTTCACACAACTGAATCTGATCTGAATTAGTGCAAAACAAGACGTATGAATCATTAAAGAAACCAAAAAGCTGCTTACGTAACTGGGCTCGCTCGCCAACAAGCCGCTGCACGTCCTCCTCGTGAAGACTCAAAGGGAATCACTCTTTCAGACGGTGTGAAGCATCTGAAGCACCTGTGCTCTGAATTCTGGGTCATTATTCTCTTAATGACTCACATGGCAAAGACAAGGACAGTAAACAACTTCTTTTTTTGCTCCACATGATTTATTTTTCTTTTATCCTGCCTCTTCTTGCCCAGAGCGGCTCCACGGCCACCTTCCTCCTCCTCCGTCTCTGGAATAATAGTAATAATAATACATGTATCGTCAGGTTTGCAGGTGACTTCATTAACACACGTTATGAATCTGCACCATCTGAGCACCTTTAAGCTGAAATCATTCAAACAGGATTTAGGAGCTGGAGAACTTTACAACACGAAGCCTCAGGATTGGGAAGAAAATCATGAATGAAAGTCAGTAAATATAAAAATCATCTTCATCTTTTACTTCCCTTTCCTCTTTTTAATTGTTTTTTTAATCAATAACAAACCAGGAAGTAATAAAGCAGCTGAAGGATCTGACAAAAAACTACAGTTAATCAAATTGTTTTTTAAATATTTATACTGCTTTTCTATTGCGCAGAAAATGATCAAGATGTTTGAAACACCAGATATTTGGCATTTTGGCTTTAAAAATACTTCAAACAGGCCACATGTGTTCATGCAGCTCTCAGATGTACAGCACTGAACTGAACCTCTGAGATTGAAGTATTTCTATTTCATGTCGTGCATTTAATTGTCTGAGGAGGTACAACTTCACAACCCTGTGTCAGGAAAAGTTTAACTTCATTGTACAACTGTGTAAGAAAAACAATAAAAGTATGAAATGCCTTTTATTTGATGTTAATTGAAAAACAAACACGTAAATAGATAAATATTCCTATGAAATGAATAAATGTGAAATAATATCTGAAATGAACAACTGAGGCAAAAAATATATACATAAAATAAAATAGATGTCCCTGTAAATGAATAAGAGGTCCTTTAGAAAATGTTCTTTTCAAAATAAAAGCCTATTTATTCAGTTAGCATGTTTATTTATATACTTATTGCTTCATTTAGTTATTTCAGGATTTATCTCTTCGCTTGATTGATTCGTTGTCAGCAACTGAATCAATCAACCATTTTCAGAACGATCCATTGGTTTGACTTCAGTGACAAAATAAGAGTTAATTTCTCTGATTCCAGCTTCTAAAATTCAAACAGGAAGAAGGGAAGGACCTGGATACCTCTGGACTGAACCAAAGCCAATTTTATACTTCAGCTTACTATGAGATAAATGGAGACAATAATAGAAAACAATCATTAGTTGCAGTCCTTTTATGTATTCGTGTGATTTTTCCTTGACAAACTCCAAACAGTGGAGTTCCTCCGTTTTACTTTGAATCCGCTCAATAATGAAGCATCTATTGTATCATGTGTTAATAATGAAGGGACCAGCATCTGAGCCGGTGTGCGGACACACGGACAGCTCTGCTGTCTGCCTCCTACAGTCATCTACATTTACTAAACGTTAATGTGACTTAAAATGAGGCCAGTGGCGCGTTGGGTTGGTGCGCGTCCCCGTTGGCGCGTTTCTGAATGGAGACGTTCATTCAAGTGATTCTGCTTCTGAGAGGGGGGGAGGGAGAGGGAGAGGGAGAGAGAGAGAGAGGGAGGGAGTAACAGTAGGAGGACGCAGATGCGCGCCAGCAGCAGCTCTTCTCTCCTCAACTTTGCAGCTCGCAGGAGAATCAGAGGTTTTTCTATTTCAGCGCGTTTTCACGGTGACACCGGACAGAAGAAGTCGGTCCTGAAGAGGCGCAGAGCAACACCTAAAGCTGGATTTACGCGCAGCATCACCATCCGCTGAGGGACATACAGAAGACATCAGAGCCTGGAGATGTGTCATCAGGGGTCCAGAGGATTCATTCTCGTCATCTTCTGCCTCCAGCTGTGGTCCGGGCCTCTGGTAAGGGGCATTTCCATTCTTCTATTCATGCAACACATTTTCCTGAAACACTCGTGTCCACAAACTGATGAAAAGCGGCTCAAAGTGCAGCAGAAGTGCTCCGGTGTGATGAGGACACGATCGATCCCTGGTGGCACCTTTATTCTAACGCTGTTACCGTTATTGTCCTCCTCCGTCTCTTCGGGGAGGCTCCGCACTCTGACAGCAAATGTCCTCATTAGGCCGCTAATTAGCGGGAATCAAGGCTCCCGACCTGCATCCACATGCGCCCTGGTGACAATTAGAGCCACAAGGCAGCAGTAACCCCGGAGGAGGAATCAATACGGTGGTGCTCAGGTTTACGCATGAATCCACAACATGCAGGCGAATACAAATGATCTGAATGCGTCGATTTTAATGAATTTCTGGGCACGAATCAACTTCGTAATTATCAGGGAAATTCACATTTATGTTGTCGTCTTTCTTGGAGGTACTTATGTGACCTTTCAGCGCGTCTCTTCTGTTGATTGTGTTTGTCTAATTAACGCTTTGCCGTCATCGCTGCTCTCCTCCAGATAACTTAGCGGCTTGTTTTTCTTTTTCCTTCCAGGCTGAAGCCATTCATCCGGACTGCGCCATCATCTCCCAGCACCTGAGGGCTCGGGAGGTGTGTAGCCAGACGAGGAGGAGCGAGGCGCGGAACCAGACAGACCACAGCGGTGGGTTCATGCCTGATGCTGCTGCTTTGTGTCACACTTTGAGGGGAAACCGAGAAACCTTGCTGCACCCAGACAGGATTTTAATAGACGGGAATGTGGGCAAAGCTAAAAAATAAAAAATAAAAAATCTACTTTGGAGATGAGCTGGGGAGTAAAACACAGAATGAACCGGGAGGGAAAGTGGTGGAGATGAAAGCTTCTGCAGCAGCTGCTTTCTGCTCTTTGTGCTGAGATGTTTGCAGCTTTGTGAGTTTTCAGCTGATGTGCTTCATGTGAGGCGCTCTGATGGTCTGCAGGAGACACAGAAGTCCCTAAAAACTCATCTTTGTGTGTCAAAGTTACACATTTAGAAGTTTTTTTCCATGAAATAATCCCTTAAACTAGCTTCAGTGCAGCGTCTTGTGTGTGAAGTCTCTGTTTGCTGCAGCTCAGCACACCAGCTCACCTCCACCTGACCTTAGGCTGCACAGCCTCAGCACGTAAACCAGGCATACTTAAAACCAGAAACCGGTTCTGAGGAAGAATATTGATACAGAAGCTGGTTCCTTGTTCTCCACAGCAGCAGAATGGGTCAGAAATCAACAATCATGACTGAAGTTCAGGAATTCTGTCTTTGACAACGAGGTCATGTATAAGATTTAAGCCACTGATCATCAGTATTACAGGCACCGGGACATGTTCAGTGTTCCAAACAGCCCAGGAGCAGACATGCTGCAGCTACATGAGGAGAAAAAAGAAGGTTTTCCTGTTGGTAAAACATCTACAGTGGATTTTTGGTTTTAATACTGACAGTTCTGTTCATGTGTGATGACAGTTTATCTTGAGAATCGCAGCGCACGGCGCAATAAAATGTGATTTCCTTGTTGTTGAGCCACCTGTTGCTGCATTTTGGTAGTTAATGATTAAAGATGATTGCTGCAAGGCGACAATGCTAACCACTGAGCCACCTCACAGCTAGAAGGTCGCCGGTTCACGTCCCGGTGAGGACACCCGGGATCTTTCTGCGTGGAGTCTCCATGTTCTCCCCGTGCAGCGTGGGTTCTCTCCGGGTTCTCCGGCTTCCTCCCACAGTCCAGAAACATGCTGAGGTTAATTGGTGATTGTAAATTGTCCGTAGGTGTGAATGTGAGTGTGCTTGGTTGTCTGTCTCTAAGTGTAGCCCTGTGATAGACTGGTTACCTGTCCAGGTGAACCTGCCTTCACCCTGAGTCAGCTGGGATAGACTCCGCCCCCCATGACCCTGGTGAGGATGAAGGTGTAGAGATGATGGATGGATGATTAGAGACATGCTGCTGCAGATGTCAAAGGTTAAATCTCAGTGTCAGAACTGAGAACACCATAAACTCCTCCACAGAACATATTCGTACAAATGTTTGATTGTGAACTTTTCCACATTTAGTGCTGACAGGCTGCTGCTGGAGACCAGAGTCATGTGTGTCTCTGGTGTTTGTAGTTTTTCTGAACAGTGAGTTGTTTGGTTCCTGTTGTCCAGAACGTGTCACTGACTGTGTGTGAACCTGCACACGACAGATAAATGAATCTGAATCTGTCTGCAGCTGCGTTGGAGCCAAACGAAGGATGCAAATGATCAAAAACACAACGCTGAATATTGGATCCGGCAACGGGTCAGGCAGATAGAACCACACGATCAAACATCCCCAGAACATTTAGTTGAATAACGACAAATTCTTCCATCTGAACGCTGCCTGAAAAACACGTTAAAAATCAACAGGCTGTTTTCTGTCATTAGACTAATCAGCTAATCCAGCAAAGGCTGAGAGGAAAGCCTCTTGTGAAGCCTGATGAGCTTCATCAGAGCTGAACGAGGAGCTTCTGGAAAAAAACAGAGTGTGAATCTACAGATATATAATCTATATTCAGGTTTTAGTGAAAGCTGTGCTGCAGGTGGATCAGAGGTAAAAGTTCAGCTGCAACAGAAACAACAGGAAGGAAAGAGCCGATTAAAAAATAGCAAATTAAAAAATCGTTTGCATGCTGACGCGCAAATTTGGCTTGTCGTCATAATTAGTTCAACACATCTTGAGTGGAGGGAGAACTTTGATATGAGATGAGATCAGTGGAGCCACATGGGAGCATCACAGCAAACTGGAGCACAACAACAAGAGTAAAGCCAAAAAACTGGGACGTACAAGACGCAAGCATTTACCAGATACAGCTTAAATAAAACCAAATACGAGCGACAACAGAACTCACCTACAGGTAGACAACACAAACTTCCTCTGAACAGATGAGTACTGTAACAGAATGAGTACTTTTACTTAAGTACTGACGCGTTGGGGGACATTTCAGACTCCTGATCGACTGAACTGCAGAAGAAAGATGTTTTTATTGCTCTACATTTATTCACCAGGTGAAACAGCTCCGTTATATATTAATTAGATGAAACCACATCCAAAACAGTTTACATCTAGTAATAGTGAAGTAATGGAGTACTTTTACTTTGGATAGCAGATTTTGTGAGCAACACTTCTAGACTTAATATTTTTACAGTATTCTTAGAAATAGAAATTAATTTATTTTAGATAAATAAGCTGGAACCTGGAGTCGGGTCGCAGCAGAACCGGTGTGACGCTGCTTCAGCTTCACCTGACAGAACGCCTGCACAGCGCTACCTCACACCTGTCCTTCCACCTGCTCGCTCTTCTGATCTGACTCACCTCCTTCAGAACAAGACGTTCATCAGAAACTGCAGCAGAACAACATCGAGCGGCTGAACTTTAACATTTTCAGTCTGATGCGGTCTTAATCAGCGCTGACGCTTTGCTCATTGTGCAGATAAACGTGTGCTGATGAACTTCACCGTCGAGGAAGTCGGTGTTCTGCCAGCGTGACGCCGACAGGTGACACGTCGCCACGCTGAGCTGAGAGTCGTGCAGAGCTGAAGTTTAGATGAGAAAGGTCATCAGTGACTGACTCCTGGTGGCTTCAGCAGGATCTAGACTGGGTTCAGATCTGCTGCTGTTGGCTCAGAGTTGATAAACAATAATAGTCTCAGTCAGTTAAAAAGCTGCAACTGACAATGTTTTTCATCACCAGTTAACCCGCTGACGTTCTGATGACATGAGCAGCTTATAAAAAGTAAAGAAACAGATCATTACTGTCTTTAGGTTGATTATGTTGAAGAAAAGCTGAAACACTTGATAACAGACGACTCCATGTTTGTAGGTTTTCAGAAAACTTATTTTCTTGTTTGCTTTAGATAAAATCAAAGTGAAGCTGAGTGGATCTGACTCAGTGGAAATGACAGAAATAGAGATGACTTCAGTTTGATTGAGCTGTACGGTGGTTCAGTGGTTAGCATCGTTAGCGCCTCACAGCTAGAAGGTCGCCGGTTGGCGTCCCGGTGAGGACACCCGGGATCTTCCTGCGTGGAGTCTCCATGTTCTCCCCGTGCAGCGTGGGTTCTCTCCGGGTTCTCCGGCTTCCTCCCACAGTCCAGAAACATGCTGAGGTTAATTGGTGATTGTAAATTGTCCGTAG